AGACGATGGAACGATGAGCTGTATGAGCTTTACAACGATATGGACATAGTGCAGCGAATTAAAATACAGCGGCTCCGCTGGCTTGGTCATGTCGTTCGAATGGACACCGACGCTCCAGCTCTGAAAGTATTCAACTCGGAACCCGCTGGTGGTAGCAGAGGAAGAGTGAGGCCCCCACTGCGATGGAAAGATCAGGTGGAGAAGGACTTGGCTTCTCTTGGCGTTTCCAATTGGCGTCAGTTGGCACAGAGGAGAAACGACTGGTGTGCTTTGCTGAACTCGGCCAAAATCGCTTAGGCGGTTACAGCGCCAAAAAAGAAGAAGTATGTTAACGCATAACTTTGGACCACGTCCAAAAAAATTACTTGTCATTTTTATAGTATCAATACAAGGGTATTTTTCCTCCTCTGTTAGCTTTTTTAAAATACCAATTTATACAAACGCCGAAATCTTCAGACAAAATTTTTCACAACAAAATTTTGTACTTCAACGCGTTCCACAGCTCACGAATGGGATCGAAAAGAGTCGAAGTACTTTGATGGGGCTACAAGCAATGCCAAATGTCCTGGTTCAAATGGGAATTGTTTTCTAATATAGATACATACATGCAAACATATTTATGTACATTGGTACATATATAAAGCCACTAACATAACTGGTGGGGTGATTGACTCGGTTTTTTCAAACCAGTTACAGCCGGTTATCTTGAATATATTTAGGCGGTTTTTTTTAAATATTGATTTTTCGAATACCGAGTAAACCAAATTTTTGCAATTGAATACACCAGGTTTTTTATCTAGTTAATTTATATACCAGAATCTAAACATTCTAACTATTTATTTGATTAAAAATAAATCTAGAACGTTCTTATTAATTATATATGAATACTGGACAATTTTCCACGGCATAAAATTACTTAAAATATTTTAATAGTGAATCTATATAAAAAAATTTTCTATGTATGAAGGAAATCGGACCATAAGTACGGGTTTCCAAATATCTCGACTCCTGCGCCACCTAGCAGAATATTTAATCTTCATATTGCATTGCCATCGATTTATGAGCTATGTGTGAATTTTCAAGACTCTAGCTCATCGGGAAGTTGGTGAAATATTGATTCCGGGACATACTGCATACATACATACAAGTGAAGATAAAGATGAAGATGATGATGAAGATGAATATGATGATGAAAATGAAGATGATGAAGATGAAGATGAAGATGAAGATGAAGATGAAGGTGAAGGTGAAGATGATGATGAAGATGAAGATGAAAATGAAGATGAAGATGAAGATGAAGATGAAGATGAAGATGAAGATGAAGATGAAGATGAAGATGAAGATGAAGATGAAGATGATGATGAATGATAAAGATGAAGATAAAGATAAGTAGACTGTTATGATCGGCCTGTAATTCTTAATGGTAGAAATGATCCAACAATCAAAGGAGCGGCCACCAATGATGCGGTCTTTTCCAGAAATATTAATAATATTGAAGTAAAACATCGAATATCTTCCTGTAGTTACCACAATCTACTAGTTTATATTGTAGATATCTCAGGCAAAATTAATAATTAAACTTATAAAAAATTGAAATAAATACGTTTTTTGTATATTAGAAAATATGTGCATGCGTATGTATATCGCAAATTTATTTCTTTCTGGCATTTCCTCCATTAAGTTTCACTTCTTCCGCGCGTAGGGACTACACGCGCTGAGTTGTTTTTTTTTGCTTATTAAAAGTGTAAGCGCCAAAACATTATTATTGGTTTTTAAATTACTACAATGTTTTTAAGACTTTTGAGAATAAGTCCTTGATTTTCTATTAAGTTTTAAATCGATCCGACTTTGTGAAGAGAGAGACGAATTGGGTTTAAGTACAAATTAATCATTTCATTTCATATCCATCATCGTTTGCGGGAGTCAGTGTTTCTGCTCAATTAATGCCGCAGGAGCACGGGAAATAATGAGAAAACACTTTAGAACAAAGAAGCAAAGATCAATTTTAGTATATTTGCACCGGACCAATTAGAGTTTTGCTATCAGAAAATATTTCATGTAAAGGATTTTTTTTTTGTAATTTTGGCTTTTTGCATTCAAACTACATAAATATACACATCCTTTGCATATATATACATATGTATGTATAATACTTAATACAATTTACAACCACGACCCTTACTTTGATTAAATAAACAAATTTTATTTTATCGATTCCGGCGTTTACTTATTTGACATTGAACTAAAATTAGTACAGACTTAACAAGTAGACAACACGTGCAAGGAGTTTGCCTTCATTATACCCTGTAATTTAAATATTTAAATAGTATCGATTGGTTTTGACAACATCCCTTTCTCATTTCCATTCATGCATTACGCAATCCATTAACACTTTATGAGCTTTAATCCAACAAAAATCGATGAAAGGTCATCATACCTTTTTCACATTTTGTTTCACTCTCACTTCTCCTAATTTTAGTTAAGCTCTAAAATAAGATATAAAGCCTGCATATGTAGAAGTATAGCGGGCTCATACACAGCTGTTTGTTTGTTGTTTTTCAATTTGTTATTCCCATAAGATCCAATTTGAAATTCCCCACTCAACGCAGAGTGAAAATAAATAGTATACAAAAATAAACAGCAACCAAAGTAACACCCATTCATGAGTTCATAGTCCAAAGCTACATATATACATATGTATGTAATGTAGGACGTATAATAAGTCATTATTTTATAATATTCAAAAAAAAAAATGGCACAGAGTTTTTCACAATGCACACGGAGGAGAAGCTCGGCCAAACACTAACATATGTATGTGTAAGCGCCAATCTATTATTAACCGACTTCCAAAAAAGGAGGAGGTTATCAGTTTGTCGGAGTACTTTTTCTTTTTGTTTATGTATGTTACTGCATAACTTTGGACCACGTCAACCGATTTCGATAATTATTTGCATCGGTAAGGCAGTGTCCCGGAGGTCAGGTTTAGATCCGATCATTGGATCATGAAATATATATATATTTTTTTATATGAGAATTGGTCGCTTTTTTTTTTGTTAAAAATTACT